AGCAGCAGGAGAGGGGTTTGGCTGCAGAGGAGCTGACTGTGGAGCAGCTGTCGGCTTGGGGGGACAAGTTCAGCAGCAAAAAGAGCCACGGAGAAGCAGCAACTCTTTTTCAGAAACATCTTCACTTCAAAACTCCTTGTTGGCCAAATGCAATAATGCAAATTGCAAAAGACTTCAACCAACAGTGTCTGCAGAGCGGCAGGCCCCAGGACATGGTCCCTGAGGAGTGGCTCTGCGTACGCCTGCTGCTGCTGCTGCTGCTGCTGCTGCTGTTTGGGGGGCGAATTTGCAAGGGTTTTCGGTGGATTCGGGACGAAATGCTGCTGCTGCTGCTGTAGCTGCTGCTGATGGTTTAGCTGCTGCTGCTGCGGGAGCTACCGCAGGTCAGTCCAGTTGCTCTTTTTGCTGCAGCAGCTCCTGCCGCAGCTGCAGCTGCTGCTGCTGCTGCAGTGGCTGCAGTTCCTGTGGGTGTGCTTCGCGCTGCACAGGACACAATATTTTGTGACGAGAAAGGGATCGTGTTGAGAATGAGAGTAAGCGAAGAATCTGGTGCACGCGAGGGTTTAGGGTTTAGGGTTTAGGGTTTAGGGTTTAGGGTTTAGGGTTTAGGGTTTAGGGTTTAGGGGATAGGAGGGGTCCTGTGACACCTCTTGAAAATGAAGTAATTTTAACAACTAAATTAGACACATGCGGCAGCTAATTAATAAATGTTTTTGACTTTTAAAACTAAATTGTTTTTGAGTTTTCCTTCAAGTCAAAACAGCCGCCTGCTGCTGCACTTGGGGGATTTCTGAAATTGGCGAAGTGGGGTATTAAAATGAATAAATTGATTTCGATTTTATTTAAAAGGAAATAATTCATTATTTTGCGATTAAAAACTATTTATTTTCTTCTTTTTTGTTTTCTAATTAGGAAAACAGCCCCCCTTATGGCGGCGAGGACGAGCCGGAGTCGGGTGTCACTACACCTGAACTGTTCAAAATAAGAAAAAAGAAAATGGAACAAATGAAGCCGCACCGTTTCGTTGTAACGGCTCCAGTGCGTAAACAAATGAAATAAATTATAAAGTTTAAAAATAAATTATTTTATTTCTTTTTCGCTTATTTCCACTTCTTTCGCCGCAGCTTTCGCTGCACTTGGCAGCAGCGGCGGCTCCCAGAACACAAGTTAAATGCACCTGCCTCAGCACAATGGCCATTTAATTTGTTAAAACGAAGCAGTTATTTAATTAAATTAATTAATTAAATCGATTTGGGAAAATTTGATGCATTTTTCTGTTTTTCCCGCCTTGTTTGCAGGCCGGGTATATAGCGAAGGCCGGCATTAAAGTAAGCCACTTCTACGCCCTCAAATTAGATTTTAATTCATTTAAATTAATTTGAATTAAATTGAATTTCAATTTTTAATCAAATTAATGAACATTTTTAAAGTATTTTGAGAAATTTGCATCATTTCAGCAGCCACTTGTGCAAATTTGAATTTGCCACTACGCGGATTTTCAACTTTTGTCTTAGCCTGTAATTCTCCTCTCTCTCTTTTGTTTTATTTCTTTTTGAGTTAATTTATTTTTATTTATTTTACCAAAACATTTTGTTCATTTGAATAAATAAATGAACATGTACTCCGAATAGAAATTCTATTTGCAGCTTTCTGAATGGTCTCTAGTTAATTCAAATTTGTAAAAGAGCTTTAATTCAAATTGCAAGAAAAACCTTCAATTCAAGTTGAATTGAAATCCCTACGATTATTGCTTGATTTAGGAGCCTTTGATTGCACTTATTTTCAATTAAAAACATTCAAACTGCATCTATTATTTTCGACCAAAAAGGTCTAAATTGCACTTCTTTTCAATTTAAAAGGTTTAAATGTCGATTAAAAGGTCCAAAATGCATTAGTGTTCTATTAAAAAGGTTTACATGTCTTTAAAATGGTCTAAAATGTCTTTATTTTCGTTAAAAATGGTCTAAATGGCATTTATGTTGCTGTGGGGCCCCACAGATTGGCACTGTGTTGCCGCTGCTGAGCAAAGAAAAAGTGGGACAGATTTTTGGCAATCATTTTGCACACTTATGTTCAATTTTAGAATTTTAAATGTCAAGTAAAAGGTCTAAAATGCATTAATATGCAATTAAAGAGGTATAAATGTCTTTAAAGTGGTCCAAAATGCCTTTTAATTTCGAAAAATGATTGTTTTGCTGCGGGGCCCCACAGATCGGCACTGTGCTACCGCTGCTGAGCAAAGAAAAAATGGAGAAGATTTTTGACAATCATTTTGCGCAGCCGAAGAACTACAGAGAGCCTCTGTTGCTGCCGGACGGCCGCGTGATAAAATAAAGGGTATTTTGGCCATTCTTTGCATTTTTAGAAAAAAAAGAAATCCCCTCTCTTCTTTTTGAAGAGTTTAACTTTCTCGTCTTCTTCTGAATTGCAAAAAGAACAAAAGAATCTTCTTTGTCGCTTGAAATTGGGTATTTTAGCGCTCTCCTTTTCAATCTCAAAAAGAAAAGAATCTTCTTTTTGGCCTCAAAAGGAATTGTCTATTTTAGCGCTCTCCTTTTTAATCTCAAAAAGAAGAAAGAACCCTCTCTTTGGCCTCAAAAAGAATTGTCTTTTTTTTCATTTTGAAGCCGAGAAGGTTATATAAGACTTCTATCTTTTTCTGTTATTCTCTCTTTATCTCTAAAAAGCGCATCTGAGACTTCTTTTATCTTTATTTCTCCTTGTTCTATATTTAAAAAAGACAATTTGACCTCCTTTTATCTTTTATTCCTTTTTGTCTATTCGCCGTTTTCCAAAACGACCATTTTACTTTACGCCCTCTGTACGTACACCCGAAGCTGCATGCAGCCCAGCCCGTGAGAAACTTCCCACTATTAATCACCTTTTGCAAACAGTTCACTAATAAGTGTTTAAATACATACTATATATATATATATACATCTTTATATAACATGTATATATATATATTATATGTATATTTGCATGCACGGCGTTCAAAAGCCATTTCAAGTTCCCATGCATAGCCTACGCCGTGCATTTCGGAAAAACAAAACGGACACTGCATATTACTTTAGGAGAAAACAAAATAAATAATAAAATAAAATAAAATAAATGATAGAAGACTCCCACGGCAATTCAAGTTTCTCTACGTTGTCTTGGAACCTCCTCTGCAGCCATTCTGTTGGGGTGTACAGACAGCTCGCATCTACGCACAACTGGCAATTCCCCTTTTCTCCTTCAAAAGGCATTTAGTCTTTCCAATAACTCAATAAAAACATAGAAGTAAATACTTTGCCAATAATTCTCCATTTCTTCCCCCAAATATTCTTTTGGCGGCTTTCCCTCATCTACTGCTACGTTGCGTTTGCGGTGTACGTACACCTGAACTGCTGCCTCAAAGCTATCGACCTACATTTTTCAAATCTACCCAAAGGCCTCCACTTCGAAGCTGAACTACACCGAGGTAAACCTGCTGCTGCTGCTTCTGCTGCTGCTGCTGCTTCTGCTGCTGCTGCTGCTGTATTGGGAGACAACGAAAGGCAATAAAGAAATGCAACTGTTGAGGGTTCTGTCTTCAGAAAAACAGAAAGAGCCAAAAATGCAAAAATGCAATTTCGACTCCAAGTCCCTCATTTACTTTACTTGTGCTTCTTCTTGTCCATCCGGCGTTTGTAGAACAGCAGCTCTTCGCCCTAAAAGCAAAAACCCAAAATTCAAATTAATGATAAAAAGAGTTCCAATTTAATGATAAAAAGAAATTCAATCTAACGATAACAAGAATTCCAATTTAATGATTTTAAAAAATCCAATTTAATCATGAAAGCAAATTCAATTAAAAGATAAAGTGCAAATTCAATCACACGATAAAGTGCAAATTAATTGATAAAGTGCAAATTCAATTAAATGATGAAATGCAAATTCAATTAATTAATAAAGTGCACATTCAATTAAATAATGAAATGAAAATTCAATTAAGTCACAATTAAACCATAAAATACAAATTTAATTTAATAAAATGCAAATTCAGTAAAATGGCACATCTGCACAGCAACTGCGCTGTACGTACACCTCAGAAACACCGCGAAAACCCACTGAACTGTGACATTTTATTTCAAAAATTCATTTTGAAATAAAATGTCACAGGGGTGTGAAGGGGAAAATAAAATAAAAAGAAATTCAAATCCCCGCAGTCCCCTGTAGAATCTTTTGGCCGGGGGAAACTGGAGAAACGAAAAACAAATTAAAAACAACTTCAATTGATTTAAATGAAGTTGCAATCGCTCGCGCCCCTTTCAGGTTTCCCGGCTGTACATACAGCTCGCGGCATCTCGAAACTTCACTTCGGAAATCCATTCTAGAAAGCGAATTCAAGTGTACATACACCTCAACATCCGCATGCAATTGACAGCTGCACGGAAAAACGTGCAAGAGATCTAAGAAGCCCCTCAATCCAAAACAAAAGCAAATAAGAAATAGAGTATTCGTTTTGAAGGCCTCTTGCGCCAAATACAGGAAGAAGAAATAAAGAAAAAGCAAATGGACTCGAAACAAACATGAGAAGTAGAGAAGAAGGCACGGAAAGTTCCAGAAAAACCTGGCAAATGAAAAAGAAATCGAGAAACGCTTCAAAAGAACTCGAAAACACAAAAATAAAATGAAGTTCGGAGAAACTTGCCTCAAGAATGTAGCCATCTGCGCGTCCAACCTGTCCAGGTCTGCTGCTGATGCAGGCGAGGAGGCGGCCAGTGTTGAACTGCTCCTCCAGCAGCGGATCTATTTTCGGAATGCCTTTATTTCTTCTTTGTTCCTGGGCGAAGAGGGTGTGCTTGGAAGGGGCTTTCTCCTCGGCTTCCCCCTGCGCCTTCTTGCCCACGTCCAGTCCGTAGTAGGACCGGAACCTGCGGAAAAAGCCGGGAAAGCGGCGACTTTTCGGGACAAATCGAAGCAAAAACGTAAATAAAAGCCGAACTAAACTGTAAATTCGAAAAGGCGAACTCCAGAAAGGAAAAAGGTGAAAAGTGGCGCTGCGGCGGAAACGCGCAGGCGCGCGGAGCTGCCTATACACCTGAACTCCGGGCGCTGCGGTGTCACTGCAGCTCCGGGAACTCGGCGGAAACCAAGTCAAACTGGACTCAAATGAATCCCAATGAACTTGAACGTTAATTATTTGCATTTTAAAACCCACCAGGCCTTGAAAGGGGTGGCGTCGATGTGCACAATGGAGTTTTTCACGAGGGTGTTCGTCCGCACCAGCTCATTGTTGGAGGCGTTGTACACCACGTTCAAAATGCGGGTTTTCCTGGCGACCTCTGGCGCAGCGCAAAGCACAGCAAAGCCCAGCGACGAACTCGTCTTAGTTTCAAGCTTTAGAGAAACGAAGGGGAAACAAACCACCACGAACTCGTTTCAAATTCAAGTTTTGAGAGAAACGAAAGAGAAACAAACCACCAATTAGCGCGACTCGCGGCACTTCAGGCACAGCCCATTCAGCCACAGAAACGCGCCAAAACCGGCCCGTTGACTGCGCCGGAAATGCAGAAAAACAAGTGAGCGGCGCCCCGGGGCTTCCGGGGGGCGTCCGCCGCGGTGTACATACACCCGGGGGCCCGGGGGCGGAAGGCAGCGGCGGAGAGCCCGCGAAGAGCAAAAGGGAAAAGGAGCGGGAGAGAAAGGCGGGACGGCCGGAGGGGCCGGGAAGGGAAAGAAGTGAAGAGCGGAACGCACTCTGGCTGGCCCAGCAGTAGTTTCCAGTGTCTAGACGGATGGCCCTGTGCTTGATGTTGCCGCCCCTGCAACGCACTGGGCGGACTCTTTTGGAGCCAAGTTTGGTGACGGCTGCGGGCCTGCCGAGTTCATGTTTTCTCTTCTTCTGGTGCACGGGGAAGCGCCCGCCGGTCTTGCGGTGCTTGTGCCTTCTGTCGCGCGAAATCCCCATCTTTTTCTTCTTTTGAGCACCCGCAGAAGAAACAAAACCAAAAACTCACCCGAATTCCCGCGCAAAGATCCCAAATCCCAAACACAGCCCACGCACAAGTCCCCAGCCCGCCCCTGTGGGGGAGCGCCGCCCCCACAGCCCTGCGCCCACTGCATGCAGCCTCTTCCCGGGGGCCTCGCCCCGCCTTCTTCCATTAGTTCAATTTTATTTTGCAAATTTTATTATTTTTTCTCTTTTCTATTCGCTTCTGGGCCTTTATGAGCCCCCAAAGGCCGCCCACCTGCTGCAGCCCTCCGGGTGTACGCGCGCTCACTGCGCATGCACGGGGTGTATGTACAGCTCCGCTACAGCCAACGCTCCGAACTTGCGTCACAAATCCAAAACCTTCTGAAATATTCCCGTCTTCAACATTACACAATTATGTAAAGCCTAGATTTTTGCATTTACTCACTAACAATGGAGGATTACCTGTAAAGGCTCTGTAGTTTACCAGAAACTTTCACCGCCAGATCTCTTTGAGCATTATATAGTAGCCCCTCTAGGGAGAATTATTACATGTATTTAATGTTTATTTAACTCTAAGAGGGCCCAAGGCCCTAACAGCCTCGCTCTGACTCGCCATTAAGCCAATTGAAACCAACAGATGTTCCACTCGAAAGCCTTTGTAAAAGACTCTAGCTCTAGCTCCAGAAAGCGCATCTGAAGGAAACGCGTTTTGGGGAAAGGCTGTAGACGAGGGAGCCTGCTTCTGGTAAAAAGATTTTTGCATTCTGACTCTGAGCAAATGCCAATTCACATATCTAATTGCTTATTATTCACTGTGCTTGCCTAAGGGTTTCAAAGCGACGGCAGCCATGAAAAGCTCTAAGAAACAAGCTGTATTTGTTCATTTCTTTGCTCCTGTCTTAAATAAGTGGCAGCGGCCCAAGGAGTCATTTATAAGCTAACTCTGATGCAGTGTCAACTCAGAAGAAGTTGTACAAGCTTGAGTGTTTGCAAAGGGCGCTGCATGAATTCTTGAGGCACTACAAATTTTTTCATATTGAAATGATCCGGACATCGAATTCCTTTAACTTACTTGCCTCCTTTCTGAAATGATTTTAAGTCCCTTCAAGTATTTGGCCCGTTTCAGCAGCTTCCTACTGCCCAGAGTTGATTCCGCCAGCACATTCTGTCCTTTATCTGCTTTTTTCTATCATTGCATTGCATTTGACATAATTTTATCTCATTTTATTTATTTTATTTTATCTTTCTATTATTTGCCCCTACAGTGTAGATAAAACTGTGGTAGTGAAGTACAGCCTGAAGCGCAGTGATCAGAGTCTTCAGCTCTCTTGGTTCGGACGTAATCCCAAGTGTTAGGAGAATTGAAGTAATACAAAGTGGTACTTCAAGTAGCACAGGCTATCCTGATAAAAGGTGAGTGAAGAGTCTTTGTTTGGCTGGCAAAAGATGAAAGAAATGAATAAAGAAGACTTTAGCAGCGCATTTAGCTGCTTATGTAGAAGTGCCTGGAGCTCTGCAGAAGCTCGGGAAACATATGCGAGCACTTTAGTGTCTGGCTTTCTTCGTTTTCTGAAAAAGTAAAAGCCAAAAAGGCTAAAGTTTAGAAGACCAGCATTTCCTCTGCTGATGTTCACAAGGTGGCGAGCCTGGAAGTCCCATGGAATGATATTCGCGGTTTCTGGATGATTTCGCAATTTTCTCTTGTTCATTTCCTCGCCGCTTCAAATTATATATTATTTAAGTAATCTTGTGACACTGCTATACAAAATGAGGAGAGCTTTGGGAATTGGAGCTTTCTGCTCGTTATAAAGTGGACTTCAACAGGAGAAATGCATTAACAGAATTGAAACAGTAACCTCTGCTCTTCGTAAGGGCAAACTTCGCCTTGATAATCTCTGTTTGTGCAATCTTCAGAGAAAGATCATGCAAAGGAAGGTTTGCATATGCTGCCACTCAACTCCTTCAATTTTTCCATCTTTGGAACACTTGAATGATGACAAACGCGAAGTGCCTTTGGACATTTCCCGCTAGTCAAAAGTCCGACTGCTTAAATCCAGTACGTTTTACATAAAGGTTTCGCAGCGTTTTGCCTGGTGAATTATTGTGTAGTAATAGCTTCTTTCTTTTTGCGACAAAGTACATCTTTACACTAATGGATATATGAGGGTGTATGAGAATGTGCATGTGTTTTAGCAGCTGCTCACAGACGTGTAAGGCCTACGGTGGATCTAATTTATGCATTTAATGCTGATGTGCTCTGAAGTTTGTTCTGAAGTGCCTGACTGCAGCTCACAGCTGCGCGATGTCTTCAATATAACTGCTACCAGTACTAATTTTGGGCAAAACAGTAATGCTACTGGGTGAAGCTTTACAGCGAAAGTGGAACCGTATTAGGTAGGTTCACTGAAGAGGAAATGATTCATAGTTGTAGCGCTACTGGACGTCCCAATAGGAAAGAAATATGTGTTGACCTGTCTATTTTACTAGTAGATGGAGACAGCACTGCCAGTGCATTTGGACTCTTACAAAGATACTGTGAATCTTTGCAGTTTTTCGAAAAATTGCGCAGAAAAAAAAAAGGAAGAAATGCATTTGTCCTGTCTTTGTAGGACACAAGCGCTGTACAAATGCAGCAAAGGAACAAATTGCCTTGGTAGCACTGGGCAGCTTGCACGGGGAAATTGCAAGATGTATCAATTCGCCTGCTGGTTCTACTTTGTCATTAATCCTTTGGAGCATACAGCGCTTTTCCAGCTTAAGTTGGAACATAGATAATCAAAAGGCCTTTCAACGTAGTAGGCTGTCAAGAATGTTAGCAGGCACCACCGATATTTTTCGCACTTCGTTCGAAAAGTTCAAGTAATTATATTTAGTTTGGCGACAAATGATTGTGAAAGGCGCATTTATCCCAAGCACATAAATAAATATGTTATAAAGACAAAGCAGGTATCTAACTTCGCTACTGGCTGGTATTGAAAGATATGTAGACGGCTTACCACTAGAATACCCCACAGCAATGAGACTGTGGCTGTAGTTAGCTGCACTACAATGTAGCCCAGAAATGACCTTTAGGGTCGCATATTTCGGAGCATGAAAATTGGCATATTAAATACAACTAATTACCATAAAAGAAAAGAAATCCTACGGGTAAATGCCGAGTGTCTTGTGCACGCATGCCTCAGTTTTGGGCCAGCAAAAGGTTCGGTTTTGCTTTGCATTGGATGCTTGAACACTGAAAACGGCTACTGTTACTTCAGGATTTTTGTTCGCACTACCTTTTCGCCAGTGACAAATTATCATTTCATACAAATGCTGCAGGTGGCGCATCAGCGTGTTTCCCGAGAAGCTCTGCATTTCAGAAGTCTTTTAGAATCTGCAGGGACCTAAACAATCCTAGAATGCTTCTCAAATAAATGAAAACCTCCTGAAGACCTTACACGATTCGTGAGATGCTTCAAAGGGATCTGTTAAACTGCTGTCGCTCCGCTGTTTCAGACATCCACTCAGGTCCGTTCAACTTCTCATACTAAAGGATTCCCCCCAATATTGCAAGCAGCAGTTTAATGCTCTCGTCTTTGCGAAATTCTCGAATGTACTGCACATTTTGACATACCTCTTCTCTTTGCAGCAAACAAAGGCATTGCAGCTTTGGGCTGGGACGCTTGTTGTTGCCGTTTGGAGATTTTCTCTACTAGCTTCTCTCGTGGGACTTCCTATCCATTCGCGGTGTAAAATTTGTATACACAAAAGACGTTATAATCATGTGCGTAGAAGAACTTACTGAAAGAGGCAGGCCAAATGACATTAACGAGCTGTCACTTAATAGTCCTGAACTCATGAAAGGTCATTGTTACAACCCACATCCCAAGGTAAAGATAGTGACTCCGCAGAGTCCAAGAGAGAAAGGAAAGCAGTAAAATATTTCAGAAAAAACTGAAGAAACTGTGTAGAGGGAAAGGGCTGGCAGGTGCAAGAGCTGGAGCAAAAAGAGACGCGCAACAGCGTAAACGAGCAGCCCCAAAGTGCGAAACTCAGGACACTCACTCCTGGCCACTAGAAATGGTCTTGTTTGTTTAGGGCTTTAAAAAAGTGTATCAAGAAGACATTGAACAGGCCACTCTCACACAGCAACTCGTGAATGTCGTGACCCTGGTTGCAGCTTTTGTGTATGCGGAGTGGTACGTAATTCAACATTTAGCGCCAGTGTGAGATAATATCTTTATTGTGCTGCTTCATCAACACGGCAGCGAAGGGATGACAGCAACGGCACACAAGAACTTGTCCAAATGGGCTCAGGTGGTTCTGCTTACTACTGGCCTGGAGTTGGAGAAAAATCTGATGAGAAGAGGTGTTCATGGCTCAAGAGCCCTTAAGATTAAAGTGGTGCCTGAAAACTTAGGTTGCAGACGCAAGCCAGTGGGCGTCTGGAGCAGCAGCACTGGCTAACGCCCCGCGCTGTTCCCTCTCTGCATTGATTAGCCAAATAGCTTTTAAGGCAAAGTCGTCGCAGGGTCACCAACAGTGCTGGTGTCTGGCCTGTAGAGCCAGAGACGCTGGCGGGCTCTTGAGAATGTTGTCTAAGGCTGCATCTATTAAGGTATAGGGTGTCATTCAATGGCTGAGAAAGCCGTGAGGAAGTGTCTACTTGCACGAGAAATTCGGAGCTGATCGAAGCAGCCCTCCATCGATGCTCTGGAGAGAGGCAAACATCAATAGATCCTTGAAAGGATTCTCTGAAGGACTTAGAAGAAGTCTATCTTACGATTCAGTAGCACTCAGAGGATGTCTTTGAGGAATTCGAGCACAGGACATTGCCCTGCTTCCTGCTGCACTACCTCGTGTGCCTGTTCCTCCAGTGCACTGCAGAAAGCTGCAGACATTCTCCGGAAAAAGGACTTATGTCGGCTACTGCGGACGTTTTTCGTGAAGACTTAAGTGTGGCTGTTCAATTCATGCACCAGGTTACAGGGAGGTTACTGGTGTGCGAGCCTGGACACCACTGGCATCCGTGCACTCCGTGGAGCTTCTTACTCCACTTAGATCGCTGTAATATTAAATCTAAGACACATTTTTCAGCTGAATTTTTGCAAAAAGGCCTTTGTTGCAGCTGCAGCTGTAGCCAGCTTTCCCAGTGGCGCCGTTCAAGTTTTCAGTCGCGCTGCGTTTAGCCGCGCTGGGGACCGTGCAAATGCCCTCTGGCTGAATTTTTAAGAAAATGAATTAGAAAAGAGAAGACTGCTTCTCGAGGAAGGGAAGCATTGTCCAGACAAGCAGGCAGGGAGCTTCCGGGAACGTGGGGATTTGAAAGCTGGGATTCTGTCTACACCTGCGCGGCTGCGTGCGAGGCTGGAACGGGCAGCAGCGAGGCCTAATCCGAGGAAATTTAGTATTAAAATATCAGTAAACATATTTTGCGTCTTGCATTTTGGGTTATGCAATTCTGCTATCTTTGTTTGGGCTGCACTGGCAGTGTGGCACGTCTTTGCGTGGAAAGCGCTGCGAGCAGCGCTGTAGAGGCTCTTGGGTCAAAAAAAGCGGCGTTAAAGATGCAAATCGTCTTATAAATAGCATTGAAGTATTTATTGAAGTGGACTGTGGACTGTGGAGGCCAGTCTTCTGGAGTAGGGGGGCTCGCTAGAGAGGGAGGGGATCAGGACCGACTCACTCTGCTGGGGGACCGGGGGTGCAGAACAAGTATTTCACTTTTCCGGAGAAACCCAAAGTTCTTTCAGGTTTCATTTCTAACATGAGAAGACCATTTTTCGTAGGTTGGGGGGCATTTTTAGAGGTCTGCGAACGCTTCCTGGGCGCGCGTCGATGTTAGTCGATCGGTGTCCGCCGGTAGGCAACGGATTTAAGGGCTCTTGCTAATTAGAAGGTGAATAGCTCGGCCTTTTCGAAGCTTCTTAATGCTTTTTTTATCTTCTTGAAGACCGAGGGCGGCCGTTGGACCATCCCGCGCAGCGCGCTGCAGCTGCCCTCCTACAGGGCGCAACCGCTAGTGCTCTGGCCCACATCTCTGCACTTTTGCGATGCCGGCGGCTCTGTTTCTTCAAGAACAAGACCTGCAAACACTCGAGGATGTCGTAGGCGAAGAGAGGGGCCCCGGGGGCCTCCGGAGCTTCGCAGATCGGGCCCACTTCCCCGTGCCCCTCGACTTCCAGAAGGCCCCCGCCCCCCACAGACAGCGCCGGCGAACAGGTTTGGGCCTCGGCATTATTTACCTGCTGGTGGTGGGCCTCGTTGTGGGCAGGCGCATGTTGGCGAAGCCGCAGGACGCTGCTGCTGCTGCAGCGGATCCGCTCGAAGCAGCAGACCACGTTTCCCCCGTCCCGCGGGCAACAGCAGCAGCAGCAGCAGCAGGAGACGCTGCGAGCGAGAAGCGCCCCGGGAAGCAGCAGCAGCAGCAGCACTTGAGCGAGAAGCAACTCGGCCCGGCTGGACGCCCCGGAGCATGCAAAGAAGAGGAACAAGCGCGAGCAGCAGTAGAGGCCGCCGCGGCCGCAGTAATTGGCCCCGTGCAGGGTCCCGCAGCAGCAGCAGCAGCAGGAGGAGCGGTGGGGGAAGCGGGAGTTGGGACGAAAATGGGAAACGTGAAGGAAATGCTGGAAGCCGCAGGCGCGCTGGTGGAGGCGCTGGCCACACCGGAGGCGTCGCGGCTGCTGGTCAGCGCCGAAGAGGAATTCAAAAAGGCCGAAGAACTTGAAATGGACTTTGAAGAAGCTGCAGCTGTGGATCATCACCTGGATAATGCGCTGAAGGAGCTGCGGCGGCTGCACTCTGCGGCGCTGCGGGAGGGAAGAACTCTGGAAGACGAAAACGCCCGAGCCAGCCACATTGTGCCGCTCTGGGACCCCGAATCCGAAACAGATCCTCCATTTTTAATAAATGGTCAGTACGACCTGAGCGACTCTGTGCAGCGGATGCTGCACACGTTCAACTCGGTGACGGAAATGTCTCAGGAACTCTGCGACGACTTCAACGATGTCAGTCGCTCGCTGCTGATCTGTGGACAGTTCGACTGCGAAGGCGACGCCGAATTGATCACAGACGCTGCAAATTACATTCGCTACTTGAAACACAACCTCAGTGCGCAGCACGGCATCAAATACATTGCTAATCGGCTGCGCGAAACGATCTTCGCGGGGGTGAAGTCGCGGGAGCTCCGCAAGCGCGAGGCTTCGCTGTTGCTGCTGCAGGACGACACTGTGCAGCTGCAGATCTTCTTGAGACTCGCAAAGGCCGACAAAACGTCCCACTTGAAGAGCCAGGAGGGGCTGCACGAGGGGATCGCGCCGCTGGAAGTGATGCTGGGGGATGCGGAAACCTTGCTGTCCACTATGCGCATGCTGCTGACGGAAATTGAGAACTGCAACTCGATGGAAACCATGTTCGCCGCTGCGGGCCAGTTCGACGAAATTGGCATGACGGCGACAGAACTCATGCAGAATGTGCAGGAACACGCGTCGAGTCTTCCGAAGCACTTCGGAGGCATAGAGCGCCACATCCGCGTGTCCGTTGTCGCCGATTCCGAGCGCATTCACGAAGCCTGTGTGTCAAAGAGCAAGGCCGTGCTGGAGGTTCTCGAAAACGCGAAGAAGAAGCTCGAAAAAGGCCTGCAAAGCGACCAGAGCCTCCCACGAGCTGGAGCAAAGAAGCTCGACAGCAGCATGTACGAGCAGCTGCTG